ATTAACTGAATCCGGGTCTGTTATTGATTATTAATTAATGTCTCCTCTGATGCCCACATCAGGTGATTGTTGTGTCATTTCTGTGCTTTATGTTGTGAAGGCAGAAGCTCGTTCTGCAGCTCCGTTAGTTTGGGTTTCGGGTCAGGGTTCAGGTCCAGAGGTTCTGATTGTGTCTCATATCTTCATGATCCTGGGTGTGTGTTTGCAGCTGTGTAAAGCCGGATTGAAGACGCTGCAGGACCTCGGTCCAGAGATGCGTCTGGCTTTAAACGAAGACCTGGAGGAGGAGGAGGAGGCCATGATGGACGAGGAGGAGCTGGAGGAGAGCGCCGCCTATAAAGTCTGTCTCTCTGCAGAGTTATTATCTATAATGTTTAAAGATCTTAAATTCAGTATTTGAATTAATGAGGTTAGTTTGTAGCGTCTTAAAATGATCATTTAATTAAGTCACATAAATCTGTTTTATATGTTATTGTAGTTTGTTCACCTTCACATTGAATCCAGTCAGATGCATCAATAATATTGTTTTAACTGCAGTATTTTGCATATTTAACTCTGTCAAGCAAAGTATGTTGTTTCATACATTAGTGCAGGTTTTTATTATTTAATCTGGTTGGGTTGATGTTTTATTAAATATAATATTTCAGAGTTTTAAGCGTCGTATTGAAACTTGTTGGAAGGTTGTGAGACGTCACTCCTCTGATAGAAAATGTTTTAAACAACAAAGACTTGAAAGGCTTTACAGCGTTTTTCTGTTTTTTTGTGCAGGAAAACGGTTTTGGACCCGACAAAGATCGACGAGGCTCCATACTGACACCTACAGGTAAACAACAACAACAACAACTAAAGCAGGAGGTTAAAAGCAGCTTAAAGCAGAAAAACTGGCAGAAGAAAACTCTGTTAAATATAGAAGCACGTTTATGTTTATTTGCATGGAAATGTTTGACAGTTAGTTTGAGAAAAACTAATGACCCCCTTCAGGTCCTGGCGGTGTCATCGGTGACGGCGGCGTCTCCAACGGCGGTCTGATCCACCGCGTCGGCTCCCTCACCAAGATGGCGAACGGCAACGAGCACGAGGAACACCTTCGCCGCGGAGACAGCGTCAGGTCGTCCATCAACCACCACCAGCGCCACCCGTCGGTGAAGAACGGCGTCCTGGACCACGGGCACAAGAGGCCGTCCTACTACAAGCACGGCAGGTAGGCTGATCGGTCGACTTATCGATCCACGAGACTCCGAGGCTTCGACGGGAGGCCGTGGCAGCAGGTGGGTTTGATTGACGGGAGTCTCGGCCAATCACAGCGCTCTGTTGGTCTGTAGGAGGGACTCAAGGGACCGAACCTGGAGGAACGGAGACGTGGAGGCGTACGGAGAGCAAGGTTACTACAGCAGGGAGGAGGACAACGACAGCATCACCTCCAGAGACAGGTGAGCCACACAGGTAGACAGGTAGAGTCACAGGTAGACAGGTAGAG